AAATAAATGCTTCGCACCTGCCGAATTCAGTGGGTCGGGATAGGCAGTTATTTCGACGATACAACTGTACGCTAGCTATTGAATTGTCACAAAGCTGCTTTGCTGCCTCTAAGAAGACAGTACATCTTGTGGAAACGCTGGCTCCGACCGTTCCTGATTAAGAACATTCATGTTTTGAAGCCTAGTATTTTCTCCTCAACTTCTACCCTGCTTTATCCTTCCGTACAGTTAAATTCAACAACCAGGCAATACCGATAAGTAAGTAGCATTATAGGTCGGCAAAATAGTTGTAGATTACTTAGGCTCACTCAGAAATGTGTTTTGCTCTGAGGGCTGACTCGAACTCAGGCTCATCAAACGTGTCCTCAACAGGACCCACTCTGACTCAAGAGGACTCACTGTACCTTTTTTCGAATTAACTTCCTTGGACTCGAAACTCACCGACATATTTCTCTGGCGGGCTCACTCAGACTCAAATTCACGGCTTCGCCTCAGTCTGAGTGACTCAGACTCACGAAAAATTTTCTCAACCGGACTCACTCGCACTTAAACTCACCAACATATTACTCGCCCGGACTAATCAGACCCACACTGGTGGCCCAATCTGATTCTGAGTGAGTTGACTTATGAGTGCTCAGAAGAAAAAAAAATCATCTGCATAAAGTACTGTGGAAATGTTGGCAGGCTAGCATACGCATAATTGCCACTGATAGTGACAGGCATACAGCATACAAACAGGTTGCTTCAGCAGCAAGAAAAAAAAAAACAAGCCGCTAGCAACACTTCAGCGCATCCACACGTGATTTACTAGAACGGCTGTCCAATTAAACGGTGCACATGCACAAAAATAAATGCGGCAGAAATACGCATTCACCCGGAAACTGCGGCACGCCGGCAATATACCTTTTCATCGATACGCACCTCAGCGTCCCATCAAGAGGGCTCGCTTACTACCTCACGCGCCTGTGATGCGCAATACGCGGGTGAGTGCACGCGCGTTTGCACGTGTGTATCGGATACCACCATTCACTGAATTATAGAGAAACGCGCGTGGGCGCACTGCCGGGGCCACCTGTGCGTCGTCCCCGTGGACCCCAGGGGTCGACCCCGGTGTTTCCCTCGATGTGTATACGAGTCTTCGCGCTAAAACCAGCGTTGGAAGATCAGCGTCCGCTAAGGCTTCTGCGGGTCGTTGTCCAGGACTTCGCTATGCTTATATTCGCTATGGCAGGTGGCCACTGCTTCGGGCAGCGTAACGGCAACTAACACACGCACACCTTATTCGCAAATTGAGAAAGGGAGGGAGCGCGTATGAACGTTGTTCACTCGCAGGCGTTGCTCGCCAACTGGCGAGTTGGCCGAAGAAGCTCGCGTCGGCTGGTCGGTCGATGTGTCCCAGAAAACCATTCCGCGACATTAAGAAAAATGACGCGCCCCCTCCTGTTACGACCGCGGCCACGAACATTTGGGAGCTCTCTGAAATGAATCTACCCGTCTAGCTCTTTCATCAATAATTCCGCGCCAGTGCTGCCGGCCGACCGACCGGCGCTCTCGCAGAAGCCAGCGGGCCTCCCATGCTTGGCTTCTTCTTCGCTTGCCCGCGGCGCTGTGGTTCTCACCGCGGTGCGTTTTTACGATAGCGGCCGTTTACAAGCGCCAAAAAAGGGGAGAAGGCCGCCGCCGCTGCAGACCACGCGATGACGACCACAGCTCCTCGAGCTCCTATATACCGAACGCCTTCGGCCATGAATTGTGGATGAACGAATTGGCTCCCTCGGCCCACGCGTCCCGCCACCACGCTATCCGGGCTTTTCCTCTACGGTATCCCCCTTCCCTTCACCTCTGGTTCACCTTCGCCTTTCACGACTCCTCGGCGGGCCGATGGGGGAAGAGCCTGCTGCGAAGTGCCGTACAAGCCATCGCGGCCCCTAATTGGTTTACACCCAACCAATCGTGGCCAGCCGGAGCCTCAGCTTGGACCCTCTCGACAAACGGGCCCAAGCGTTCCAAAGAACAGCAGCGTTGTGCTAGTGAACACATCAAGCTCCCAGAGCTTCTCGCTCCTCACAGGCAGAGTCGACGCGCTCAGTGATGTCAGCTCACAAAGATGTGGCAATTCTCATCTCCGTGTGGATTGAGTCGCGAAATAAGAAAGCTAGAAAGATGACAGCAAGGAAGACGGGGGGAAAGAAGGGATCTCGGTGATTGGCTTTGCCTCCCTCGGGACTCGGGTGTGATGGCACGGAAGCCCCAGTGAGAGAGAAAGTATTGTTCTTAAGAGGCGACGGGCGCAGCTGTCCCTGGGCCCACTGCAAGGTTGACTTGATGAAGCGACTTTCATCTCGTTTTCGTAGCTCTCGATAGCTAACGAATAGATTTTTCAGTGACGGTTCCTATCTAGGTAGTTGGAATGAAGAGCCCTACATACGTAATAAGTCTCTGGTCTACAACGCAGCAATTCATCGAACTCTGACTCAAAGATTTTACTCGACCAAAAGAAAAGAGCGTCCTTCCAAAAGTATCGAAAGTATGTATATTGCAGAAAACTATATAATTTATTGAAGTGCGCTTTCAAAATCTCTAACTGCCTTGTTTTGAACATTCTTAATTAAATAAGCAGAAAAAATAAATCAAGATCAGTATAAGAACGATTGTGCTGCCGAAAAGTCTATCGCTTAGAGTACTCATTCTTCTGGCATACTGGCGAATGACTCACTACTACAGACCCTCATGCGATTTCCATTGAGTGGCCAATCTACAGCCAAATTATTTCCACGTAAGCCACTTTTTTAGCACGCAGAAAACAAACAGTTCATAAGGCAGAGACAAGACGGCGCACAGGACCAGTGCTAACGTCGACTGGTTTATTTTAGAAACAATGCCACTGCAGCTTGACAAAACAAGCATGCTGGCTGCGGTTATGACAGAACCATCTCAGTACAATGCACCCATGTGTGGCCTGCAGAACGAAGATTTTATTTCGAACTTGTGAGGAGGTGGCCCAATTTAGGTAAAAAGTAGAAAAAAAATTGGCATATCCCACGTACCATGGAAATCAATGATATGCGAAGCACGAATAAGAAAGGTCGATATGTCAATTCAAAATCAGCACAACGCTACGAGGTGTAGGTAAATGATGCCGGAAATGACTTCCGTGTCATGATTATAATGTTTAGATGTGTCGTCTGCCTTCGTCATCTATTCACGTCACGTGATACCAAGTTTAGTATATGTGGAGCTAGCGAAACGGCCGTGAGCACGCTGTGAGTGTGGTATGTTGTCATGCTCTTACACGACAGGCATCTCAGGATTGTCATGTTTGCACCAATAATATATTTCGTCATTCATTGACGTCACGTAACACCAATTTTGGTAAATGTGGAGCTAGCCAAACGACCGCGAGCACATCATGAAGGGCCGAATATACTTCTATGTAGCGTGAACGCGTGCGCACGCTGGGCACACTGACGCTACATTAGCAAAACGCGAGCACTCTGTAGTCTGACGCCAGGCTCCATCGGAGCGACCAGCGTCGGTCAGTGCGGCCCGACGGCAACCGGCACGAAATTTATGCCGATGCGTTACGCAGGCAACACTGCGTCTCCTTCTTTTCGTGACGGAGGGATGCCAGACGCGCTGAAACGCGCATGCGTCAAAGCAACGCAGCGCGGCGCACGCCTGCAAGTATATGGCAAAACCACGCCTGACATCGCAACGCCGGCGTGACGTGCCAAAATGAACGCGAAATGCGCACCGCGTCACGTCGAAATGTATTGGGGCGCGACTGTGCCATGTAGCCATGTTCTCACATGCCGCGCATTTCATGATTATCGTGTTTGCACCAGTCACATCTCTTCGTCATCCATTGACGTTACGCAATACCAAATTTGGCATATCCGAAGCTAGCGAGACAGCCGCGAGCGCAACGTGAGCGTAGCATGTCGTCATGTTGTTATATGACACGCATCTCATGTTTATCATGTTTTCACCAGTATCATACCTTCGTCACAAATTCCCGTCCCGTAATACCAAACTTGGTATAAGTAAATTTAGCAAAACGGCCGCCAGGGCATCATGCGCGTGGCATGTAGTCATGTTGTTACATGACACGCATCTAATGGTTAGCATGTTTGCACCATTCACATACCTTCGTCATCCATTCAGGTACCGTAATACCCAATATGGTATATGGGACGCTTGCGAAACGGCCGCGAGCGCATCATTAGCGTGGCATGTAGTCATGTTGTTACATGACACGCATGTCGTGATTTTCATGTTAGGGTCTGTTACTTTTGTTCGCCATGTAATCATGTCATACCATACCAGTTTTGCAACATGGCATGTGAACGAAGCCACCGCGAGAGCGGCATGACCACGAAATGTAAATCATGACATTCATGACATACATGTCATTATATTCATGTCATGATTAGTCATATATGCTCTTCAAACACTCATGTTATGCCATACCAAGTTTGGTATCAATACCACTATCGAAGCTGCCAGGAGAGCTAAAAGTCATAGGCGGCTAGATAGATAGATAGATAGATAGATAGATAGATAGATAGATAGATAGATAGATAGATAGATAGATAGATAGATAGATAGATAGATAGATAGATAGATATAGATAGATAGATAGATGATAGATAGATAGATAGATAGATAGATAGATAGATAGATAGATAGATAGATAGATAGATAGATAGATAGATACGCTTAAAGTCGCTGAAGTTCGCTAAGGAATGTTTCGCACTTAAAACGCTGCGTGAATCCAATATTCTACTCACCACTAAAGATGTCGCTATGTTGACTTTTCCGAACAATTTTTAGTACTCATAATTACCCATTTTTACAGCAAAACTTTTGTGAGATCACAACAAGGGTCGTTTTCCAGCAAAGCTGTTATGAGATCACAAGGGTAGTGTGCGCCGTAGTTGTGTGCCGCCGCCGCCTGCGTCCGTAATCACTATCGCAAAATATGGGAAAAAAAAACTCAGGAAATAGAAAACACGAAGGACACAGTGGGGATCAAAACTCGGGTCCCCGCGCGCCAGCCGAGCATTCTGCCATCGAGCCACGCCGGTGCCTGGAACTCCTTCGCAAACAGGCCTTATAGGCAGGTTTAATGTCGGGGAAAGAAGCGCATTATTGTGAGTAATAAAGCGTTTTACAACAGCAAAGGAACAACCAGGCGTCACACAACGTGAATTACGTAACGAGTCGGTAGTCGAATGCTCCAACCCATTTACAACAGATTCAGACGTATTTCGTCGCCGTCAGCCACAGCAAAAACAAAATGTACATGAATCCTTGCAAGTATCTAGCGGGTACCCCTCTTTTCCGAAGAAACAGAAAGAATGCCATAGCGAATGCCTTCATACTGCACAAAAGTTATGATGATTTATGGCACAGTGGTCACCTTGCAAGCGTGTTCGTAGCAGTTACCAAAGCAGTGTGAAGTCTGTGGAAAGGCCGCTCTTCCAGCTTTTGCGGTGACTGTGCTGCGCGTTCCACGCGGGCCTGGTGGTTTCGGCAAGCGCTGAAACACCACCAGATTCTATATGTATAGCTATGGATATATCTACATAGTAGATAGCATTCGCAGTTATAGATGTAAACGTAAATGTTGACATTCGAAGCTAATTTTTAACAAGCTAATTTTTAACAGATGTGATACGGCACTGGCAAATATTCTCAAATATTCTAAAAAATATTTTGAAAAAAGTTTTTGAAACGCCAAAATAATAGCTACGAACTCCCTTATAAAGTTCTTCTTCTTTTTTTATTTTCTTGCCTTGATTAGCAAATGTAAAAAAAAGAGAAAGATGACTTAACGCGCCACGCGCTGCTAGTACGCTTGCAACGCAGCGGTACTACTACAATTCGCCTCTGCGACAAGCTTCATACGTTTTTATTCAAGAACCAACCACATTCTTTGGAACACAATGTTCTAGACTACCCTTTCCTCAGATTAGGTTCATCCAAGCGTTGCTAGAGCCTCTCAATGTAAATATTTATCAGATTGGCATTACGAAGACGCCTAATTCAAAACTTGAAATTAAATTTGATGATATTTTCCCCTCTAATGCGAAACAACAGCCCCTTCAATATTTAAATATTCGGTTAAAAGATTACTTGACTCATCTGTTCATAAACAACATTATTGCGACGGATGCATCCGTATTGAACGAAAAGGCTGGAATAGGCATCTTCTGTACTTCTCTCAACTGGTCTTTCTCAGTTCGATTTCCAGATTACACGCCTATATTCATCGCTGAATTATTTGCTATAATTCTAGCACTTTGTAAACTTCCTGCAAGCAAATCAGAAGCGGTCATACTTACCGATTCTCTCTCAGTATGCACTGCACTATATACATAAAAAAATTTGACATTATTGAGTATGATTAGCAGTTTGTTACCTGAAAACCTGAAAAAATTTCACTTGGTATGGATACCTGGCCACTGCGGGATTTATCCAAATGAGATGGCAGACTCGTTAGCCAAAGCATATTTAAGCGGACCACTCTTACCTATTTTACCTGATTTCGCCTACGTAACAGCACTCAGATATAAAAAGGCTTGTTTGCACAAAGAAACAGAAAAATTATTTTTGGATAAAGTCAGAGACTTCGTACATCTAAGATATTGCTGGAACAAAGAGTGGTGTGTATCTCGGCAGTTAGAAATTACAGTCACCAGATTACGATGCGGAATTCCGCATCTGAATTACTACCTACATAAAGCTGGACTAACAGGATCTCCGTTGAGTCTCTTTTGCAAGGAATCGGAATCAATAGATCATTTCTTTTTTTTCCTGTGAACGTTATGCTTATCAAAGGAAAAGATACCTGGTCGAACCAATTGAGAAGCTAGGTTTAAAAATAGACGTGGAAATAATTTTATCCTTCGGAGGGATTACATTAGGTTATAGCCACAGGGAGGTTTTCCCTGCTGTGTGCGAGTACATAAGGGCAACAAAGAGATTACCCTGTTAGCCTATTGTTATTATTTACGGCTACGAGACTACCTGAATGCCTGACTTAGCACACTTGATGATCCTGCCGCCCGGTTCTTGGCCGATCCCCCTTTGTGGGCGAGTGCCAGCAAAGCTGAAGGTTTATCATCATCATCATCATCATCATCAACGCAGGAGCAGAAGAAGCTGAAGCGTCGTTCTCCTGCAGCCATGTCGAGGGTCGCCTTGCTTGTGGTCCTACTAGCACAGGTCGTCTTAGCGGCCATAAACGTGATTCCGCCTCACCGCCTAGTTCACCTGGACTTAAAGGGCGCGCCGCCTAAGGCATCCTACTTGATCTCGCTCATCCCCATCCTCAAGAGTCTCGGCGCCACGGGCCTGTTGTTGGAGTACGAGGACACCTTCCCGTTCGTCGGTGAGCCGCTGCACGTCCTCGCCTCGCCGCGGGCCTACACCCGCCAGGAACTGCGCGCCGTCCTGGACACTGCTAAAGCGTACGACCTGACTGTGGTGCCACTGATCAACACCTTTGACAACATTGAGTACATCCTCCAGCACCCTCAGTTCGCCAAGTACCGCGACAGCCCTAACGTACCTGGCACGCTGTGTCCCTCAAACCTCGCCGGAGTCAAACTCATACAAGACGTCCTGGATCAGATCCTCAACTTCCACCACGCCAAGGAGCTCTACTACGTGCACATCGGATGCGGAGACGTGGCCTCACTTGGTCTCTGCGGGCGGTGTACCGCGAGGCGTTTCGACCCTGCTCGTCTGGACGAATCCCGTTCAGGAGGTCGGTTTGGCCTCTACGACAAGTACATGCTCTACATGTCGTACGTACAGCTAATTACCGACTATCTGTGTTACGTCTGTACAGCCGCTTGTGACTGTAGACGATTTATTAAAGGCTGTACAGACGTAACAGTTGGCGACGAGGAAGACTGGATCGACTCATCGGCACTCCACCGACGTCAAGGAAATAACATGGCGACGCCCGACTTCGGTCGGCTACCCGAATTCAGCGGCAGCCCCAGCTCCTGGAGATCCTGGTATGGGAGGCTACAGTTCTTCTTCGAGGCTAACGAGATTACGGACGCATCGAAGAAACGTGCTCATCTGCTAACGCTGTGCGGGGAACAGACTTATGACATCGTCTGCGCCCTCGTTCAACCCAAGCAGCCCAACCAAGTGAGCTACGAGGACATAGTCAAGATGCTCAAGGCTCACTTCGATCCACAACCGTCTGAGGTCTTCTGCAGGGCACGATTCCAGCGACGTGACCAAAAGCACGACGAAACGGTCAGTGATTACGTCACGGCGCTCAAGAAGCTAGCAGCAGATTGCAATTTCGGGACAAGCGCAGACACTGCAGCGAATCCGACAATGCTGCCTATGGACGTCATGCTGCGTGATCGTTTCGTTTGCGGTCTTCGGAACGAGCAGGTCCAGCAACGGCTCTTCGCAGAAAAGGACTTGACGTTCAAGAAAGCTTTCGACCTTGCACTGCGAGCTGAAAACGCCATCGAAGACCAGAAACGCGTGAAAACCGAATTTAAAGAGTTTCACGAATCCTGCATAAGCACATGCAAGATAGACAACCAAGGTCACTCTAGTGCCTCTGCCCAAAAGAAGAAACAACGCTGTTGGCGTTGTAACGCGCTACATAATCCGGACACTTGCAAGTTCCAGACAGTCTCCTGCAACTACTGCAAGAAACGCGGACACATTGAAAAAGCCTGTCTGAAAAAGCGGAAAGAAGCAAAAACGAGCAACAGCATCGAATATCCCCAACAAAGAACTTCGACAGCTGCCTCAGCACCAGTGTCGACTCAGCAGGACTCATCAGACGTGGCCCTTTACGAGCTCAACACCGTAACCAACGCGTTCAGCACACAGAAGGTCATGACTCGGCTACGCGTACATGGCAAGTTCTTGGATTTTGAAGTCGACTCGGGTGCAGCCTGCACACTCATCAGTGAGGTCACGTTCAAAGCTACGTGGACAGATGATCGACCACGGCTTCAGACCGACAACATGCTCCTACGCACATGGTCAGGACAGTCTCTTCGAGTTCTCGGATGTGCAACGGTGATTGTTACGCACGGAAACAAAACCATGACACTACCACTTGTTGTCATCAAGGGAGCAGGTTGTAACCTCCTTGGACGAAACTGGTTTCCTCACCTGGGTATACAGATCACGGGCATCAATGATGTATCCGGCGATGAACTTGTTTCGAAGCTTCTCGACAAGTACCAATCTGTATTCGACGAGGACATATCAGGACACATCGGTCCAGCGGTACAACTAGACCTCGTGGAAGGAGCGAAACCAAAGTTCCTAAAAGCACGGCCGGTTCCTTTCGCGCTCCGGTCAGCTGTAGAAGCAGAATTGGATCGACTGCAAAGTCAAGGCATAATCGAGCCAGCACAGCATTCGGATTGGGCAACGCCTCTCGTACTGGTTCGAAAGAAGAATGGCTCGTTGCGAATATGCGGCGACTACCGTTGCACAGTGAACCAGGTATCAAAGAAGGCAGACTACCCACTTCCCTCAACTGATGAAGTGCTCAGCCACTTGAGGGGAGGCAAGGTCTTCAGCACCCTGGATTTAGCACAAGCGTACCAGCAACTTCACGTGACGCCAGAGACAGCAGAGATATTGACCCTGAACACGCTGAAGGGACTATACAGGGTCAAGAGATTGCCTTTCGGAATTTCTGCAGCCCCAGCCATTTTTCAACGTTTTATGGAGACAATGCTGTCAGGCATCACAGGCGTGTGCGCATACCTAGATGACGTGATCATCAGTGGGAAAGACGCCACGGAACACGCCGAGAGACTGGAAGAAGTGCTGAAGAGGCTACGAAACTACAATCTGCGCCTCGGAAAAAACAAGTGCTGCTTTGCGGTGCGACAAGTTTTCTTTCTGGGACACCGAATCGACGAGACAGGCGTCCACACAAACGAAGAGAAAGTTCGAGCCATAACGGACGCTCCAGCACCAAACTGCAAACAAGCGCTTCAATCATTTCTCGGAATGCTGGCTTTCTACGACAGATTCTTGAAGAACAGGGCAACAGTTGCCAGCTGCCTATACCAGCTTCTTCAGAAGGACGCCACGTGGAGATGGGAGACAAAGCATCAAGAAGCCTTTGACAAGCTTAAGGCATTGCTGCTCAGTCAGACCGTACTGGCACACTACGACGAACAGAAGGAGCTTCTTGTCTCTTGTGATGCTTCACCATATGGCATAGGAGCTGTTCTGTCTCAACGTGATGACCAGAATAGAGAGGCGCCAATCGCTTTTGCATCTCGGACGCTAGGGCCGGCAGAACGCAAATATGCTCAATTGGACAGAGAAGGCCTTGCTGTGGTGTTTGCAGCCCACAAGTTCCACAAGTATATTGCGGGAAGAAAGGTGACTTTCGTCACTGACCACCAACCACTGCTCGGCATACTGGGTCCACAAAAGCCAACGGCTCAAGTCCTTTCTCCACGGATGACCAGATGGTGCATCAAGTTATCGGCGTATGACTACAGCATAATCTACAGGCGTGGCAAGAACCATCAAAACGCGGATGCGTTGAGCCGTTTGCCATTACAAGAACGTCTCGATGAACCCTGGCCTCCAGGTGACGTACTATTGTTCGAAGCGTTATCGAGACCTCCGTTGACTGCTGCCGAGATAGCACGCCTGACACAACAAGACAGCATCATGCAGAGGTTGTACAAGGCAGTGCAGGATGGTACAGTGGAGAAACTCACTGGAGATGAGTTTGCTCCTTACCGACGACGAGCGACCGCACTAGCACTACAGCGCGAGTGCATCACACTTGGATCCCGAGTGATCATACCGAGCTCAGCACGATCCCGTGTTCTGGCACTTCTGCATGCGGGTCACAGAGGCATGGTAGCCATGAAGAAGTGCGCAAGGAGCTACGTATGGTGGCCCGGAATGGACAAGGTGATCGAGGAAACGGTGCGACAGTGCCGTGAATGCCAAGCAACGCAAAAGAGCCCACCCAAAGCTCCTATTCCTACGTGGGACCGTCCCCAGACAGCATGGAACACGGTGCACGTTGACTTCGCGGGGCCACTACTCGGACGCACCTACTTAGTTGTTGTGGACGCATACACAAAGTGGGTGGAAGTCCGGCACGTGACACAAGCAACATCCGCGGCTGTAATCGACGTGCTCCGAAGCCTCTTTGCAACGTTCGGCATTCCCCGAAAGGTCATCTCCGACAACGGAAAAGCATTCATCTCCAACGAGATCAAGCAGTTCTATGCGTCGAACGGCATACAGGCTGCAACCTCACCAGCATATCATCCGGCAACAAACGGCCAGGCAGAACGCTATGTGGCGGAGCTGAAAAGAGCGCTGTTGAAAGATGCAGACAAGTCCATACAGTGCCGACTTGCAAGATTTCTGTATCGGCAGCACACGACAATACACACTACCACAGGTATGACACCGGCGAGAGCGATGTTCGGACGAGAATTGCTCTGCCCTCTCGATCTTCTTAAGCGGGAGACGGATAAGCGAAGTCCTGAGAGCCAGGAGGCATTGCAAAAATCACGCCGCTTCGCTATAGGGGATAGAGTGCTTATCCGGCAGTTTTTGAATAAGCCAGATTGGATTGAAGGCGAAATACTGCGCCGCGTCGGACCACGATCCTGGCTTGTAAAAAGCGACCAAGGAAAGGTTCGGCGTCACCTCAATCACATGAGGAAAACGAGTCAGACCAGACAAACAACCCAATCGCGGACAGATTGGAGCGCAGCTGACGATCTCTTGGACGCAACGCCAGAAGAGACGCCATCGAGCTCAGCTGCTCAACCGCCTGAATCGCCCGAGATGCAAGATCACACTCCCTCGCAACCGTCGACGTCACAGGCAGTGGCCACTCGGCAACTGCGACCACCAGAGGTTAGGCGACCTCCAGACCGCTATGGAGACTTCGTCTAAGGGAGGAAGAGTGACATGTCGCCTTAGAAGACGACATTAACGAAGTGCGCGCGGGGCACTGGCGCTGTGGCACGAGCGCGAGCCTGGCGTCGAACGCTGGCCAGGAGTGACTCCAACGCCTGGGCTACGCTTTTGAACTTGTTCACGTTTCCTGTCCTTTAATAAATCGTCTACAGTCACAAGCGGCTGTACAGACGTAACAATCTGAAAACCCATCACGGCGTGAAGACGATCGTCTGGCACGACACACTTGCAAGAATACCGAACGAGTTGTACCATCATCTTCCCATTCACCTCCACGTCGAGGTTATGGTGGCCACTTACAGAACTGACGTGGAATTCAGCGGATGGCTCAACTTCGCGTCGCGCTTCGGTGACTCACTGTGGATTGCTACCTCGTTCAAGGACGTTGGCGAAGCTGTGGTCACTTACCCGCGACTGAAGGAGCGAGCGCAAAGTCACGTTACGTGGGTGGGTGCCATGAATGAGTGGAAAGATCACGTCCGCTTCCCCGGTGTTGCCCTAATGGGTCCTCAAAGAACGAGGCACGACTCGCCACTGCGCGAACTGCTTCCCACCAGCTTGCCATCACTGGCTGTCTGCTTAGATGTAGTTCGTAAGTCTGGTCAGCTGCCTACTCTCAGCACCAGATCATCATCGATCGAGCAGATTCTCAAGTGCCACCGCACCATCGACCTGAACATTGATTTCAGGATGCAAGGCGTGAACTGCAAGTTTCCAGGAGCGGCTATTGTCGACGAGCTGCAAAGCTTGGAGATGCTGAAGCACCACCTGGATCTTTTGCCGTACTTGCCCATTTGCAAACCGAGCTTCGAGAAGTCCGAGAACGACAGCAAGGAGTGTGTCAGGAATCTCCATTCTCAGATGGTAGAACTTTCGGTGCTGAACTCAACCCTCCGAACGGCTCTCCGGGAGGTCTATAGCAAGGACGTATCCGATGAATACGCGACCGATAAACTCGGTCCTGTAATAGCGGATATAAAGCGAAAGCAAGAGCTCCTGGACTCTACTGGCTCGCTTCGTGTCCTCCGCTCGACGGTGGGAGCAAGGTACAGGAAGAGGAAGTGGCCGAGCAGATCTCGTGCTGATAGTGACTAGCCTGAACGCCAGCATTTTCAAAGATGAGAAGCATGCCCAGGACCAAATGAGTCAATAAACACCCGTTTATTGTTGGTTTATTTGTGTATGTGATGTACAACAAAGTCATTTGTGAGCGCTTACGAGATACGTCGTAGCCATAACCAGCGGAAAAGAGTGAGGGAGGGGGGAGTAAGAGTGGTTCAGTGCCTCTTTCGACAATATTTCGACCCTTCCTCTCTTGAAGTCTTTACTCTGTACGGGTGGTTTCGTCACTGAAAAATGCCACAAAAGCCACTTACGTAGGGGTAGAGTGCTGGAGGGCTGAAGTTTTCTTGTAGAACAAGTTTCTCGTAGTTTTTTTACGCGCAAGCAAGACTTCAACGGGTGACTTGTAGCGCCCTAATGAGATTTAAGGGTGAAACGCACCATTACTCATTCACAGTATCTCGCAGGGCAAGGCAAACTCGCGCGAAGTGAGAGTGGGAGGCGACGAACTTGGAACAACGGCACACAGTTGGGGACACTCGAGTTCTGCACGTAGAACATTTGGACTGTATATACATTCGCGCCGGTATATAACTCGCTTTTAAAATAAACCTTGTCGAGGAGCGAGCCCACCCTTGGCGCTCGGTTTCGGGAGTTCGAAACTACAGGAAGTCCCCGGGGAGCCGGGCGAAGCTACCTGGTGAGTTGCGGAGTTTAGGAAAGCGAGCGCCACGTTCGTGCCGTCTCGAGTAGAGATTCACGGCGCTGTGAAAAATTAAGTTGGGATACTGTTGACAGGAGTTCGGAGACGGATTGTGCCGAGCTCGCGACAAAAGAGGTATGAGAACTTGAGCCTGTGCGGTGTACGGGAAGAGAGACGACGCGTCACGAACAGGTCTCACGTCAGACAATGCGGGCGTGTATAATGAACGTGGTTTCAAACCTACATAACGGTGTCTCACTTTCTTTCATCTACATCTTTGCTCGAGAGAAGTAGTAGCACTGCTTCTCCCTCTTCGTTTCGCGCTGCAGAGATGGGCTCGTCGGGACGTCGGCTGACGCCGAAGCCGCGAGCTTCGCAACGACTACACGGAAAGCCGGATTCGGAGAAGCGAGCTCTCCCGGCTTTTGGAAACCTTTTTTCCCATCGCAATAATTCAGGACGCCTAAGAGACGGCAAGTCGAGGTTCCGGCCGTTGCCTGTGTTATACCTCAGAGTGGCCCGGGCCTTGCATAAATCGGCAACGACGAGGCGTAGACATGACTAGACGACCCGAAAACCAAAGCGCAGGAGAATTTGCTTCATGGCGTGCGCTTGAATCTTTGATTCGCGATGGGATGACCCGCACTTAGCAATGCCTCCTGGCAGAAGACGAAAATCTGTTAAGTGCACTAGAAGTGCTACCTGATGGCCGCTGGGGTGGCGTGGGACCTGGAGCGGAAAACTCACTCGCGGCATAATCCGACACGCTGCTATATGAATGACGTTAAATGTTTAAATGTTGCTGCCATGTCAGTGAATGCCGACGGTTGCGGCTCTTATCGTACTCGACAAGAACCCTCGCAGGCACGGGGGCTGAATTATGGAGACAGGAAAGTAGCTCCCCGTTTGCTTCAGGCTCCGTGCTATATATGTGGCTGAGAGCTCGGCGCCGTGGTCTCGTTTGCTATTGTTTGACGTAAAGGTAAGAAAACGCTCTGTGCGATCTCCCGAGTGACGAGGTGTACAGGAGCAAGTAGTTTATACAGATCTACAGGTTTTCCCACCCACTTTAATCCAAGAGCCAGCTTAAATAATCTGCGCGCCATTGAAATAATCTGAGCGCCGAGCTACTTAATCGATGTGCCAAACATTTAATCCAAGCGCCAACTCAATGAGGCCGCGTGCCAGCGAGTTTATTCCGATTGCCAATGACTTTAATTCAAGTGCCAGCCAGTTTAATCCATGCACTAGAAACACAAGTCTGCCGCTTTATAGAGTATAAATGTCAGAATAATGTAAACATGAAGTCACAGGAAGAACTTTTCCATCGCCTATACATGCTTGCGCTTATGAAATGAAGTGCGCATTGCTATTTCCTTCTAACGTTTTGGTGTCATAGCTTTAGAATAGAAACAACAGTGTGTGTTAATTGCATTTACGGGTACTAAAAGTATTTGCTCATAGAGTCCATGTTAGTTTATGCTTCGTCGCTACTGCATTATTAAAGCTAACCATGTACACCATCCCATATGCATAGATTCGTGTCGTCTGCTAAGCAGACGGCTTTTGGCTACTTATTCGCTGAGGCATTCGCAGTCGTCTGTTCAGTCCGGTGATAACAACGGTGATAGACAGATGCTCACCAGGGCCTTCGTCAATCCGTTCTCACGACTTTTAGCCTTGGAGACCTTCCAGTTTTTGTCTGGTAAATAAATAAAGTTTGATTTGATTTGATATTTATGCGTTCTTGAAATCAGGAACAACCGTTTAAATTAAAACTCAAGTTGGATTAGTTTTGGTTCATGTGGAAATAAGTTTTTTTATAAAAGCATCAAAGGGGATACTCCTGTTTTCATGTAAATGACGACGCTATAGTGTTCTTGAAGCATGTTTGCTTGGAACAAGCGTTCATCGAATACACATAATTTCGTTTTAATAAAAGATAACTAATATGAATATAAATTACGACTTTCGTTTTGCACATCAAGATCACGATTTTACGTCTTATGTGCACTGCAGGACGAAAGCCTCTTCAAATTATTTCTAATTTGCTCGGCCCTGTGATGGCCCCCTAATTTATTGAGCATGTAGCTGTTTTTGACTCATCGCTATACCCACAGTCAAGTTCTCCATATCTTGTTGTGCATTCCGGCACTCCAATAACAATGTTATGTCTGCCGCATTACATGACCTGGCCCGGACATGTAATGCTACACAAATCCAATTAGGAACTTTGTTGACGAACTCAAAATATTCTTGCTTTCTTCTTTCGTTGCTATTAAAATGACTCCACCCGGGACAAGCGCTCATTTACAAACTTGTACACAGCACATTATAAGAACTCCAAACACGGCCCAAGCGAACCACGGCAGTAATTTTTGTTTTCACAAATACGAGCGGCGAATACTAATAATAATGATTTATACTACCTTCCCACTGTAGTAATTTATGTTGTAGAAACTTCATTTCAAATGCACTGTCATTTTTACGCCCCGTATTATGCTTTTTGTGCATGCATTAGACTGACTTGCACCTGAATTAAAGTCATTGGCAATTGGATTAAACACGGTGGCACTTGGATTAAAATCACTGGCACGCGGCCTTGTTGAGTTGGCACTTGGAATAAATATGTTGGGGCTTGGATCAAATGTTTGGCACATGGATTAAAGAGGTGTGCGCTCAGATTATTTCAATGGCTTGCAGATTATCTAAGGAGCCACTTGGATTAAAGTGAGCGGGAAAACCTGTAGTTGCATCTTGGCCGGTTACTGAGAGGATGAGATGAATTAGCTCAGTTACTAAATCGCGCTGCTTGCAGATTAGGAAGCGATACAGTAATGCTGAAATTATGCCAATAGGGACCGTTGCTCAGTTACATATTTCTTCACAAACGAATTCGCCTCTCATTTATTCTTCTTAGGCGTGATTACCACGCAATAATCCTCACTGGTACCATTTTCTTTTCACCTGCATCATCAACCGACAGAACCCCGCAGTTCGGTTAGGTTACCAGCAAAATACCATAATAATACTTAAAAAGAAGATATATACTAATACTGCCCGCTAACTGCAGTATGTTTTGTACTTATAAGGTACCTGCTCGTGAAGCACTAAAGAGCCAGTGGTATTTGGGTCCTTCCCGATGACGAATTCAAGCGGTGGCCTTGCCTTTGTACAATGACACCAACTATCTCAACCTTGTGTCACTTGACCTTCATCAACCGTATTATCGAGCCATGACTTGTTGAAGCACAACAACGTTTCTAACTCTGCATATCACGAACCGCGAAAGTGCTTGTCATTTGTCAGGACGACTATATCTGGCAGTATATGTGCAGTACCTCCACCGGCCTGCCGCGTATATACCTCGTTACGTAGGTCGCGGGAAGTGATGCGCACGTGTGCGCGAAGCCCAAAGGTGCCAGCCGCTGTGTGATACTGGTACAAAGAAGAGCAGCGACTCCATCACTGTAATTCGCGATGCTATCAGGCCCGGTGGCGATCCTCGTTAATCACGTCCTGGGGGGATTCCGCGCAGTAGAGGAGGCGAAGGAAGAGGCAGAGCGAAGTGCATCGTGCTCTGCAGCCATCGGCCGCCTCCCGCTTAATGGTTGCCGGTGTGCCCCCCACCGGAGAAACAAAGGAACTCGGCCACGCGCCCACAGGGGCGAGCAAAAACGCACATTCACCGGCGAGCGAAAAGATCATCGGGCCGCTGGCGCGCGCACCCACGCCCGTCATTAACATGATGACGAAGCGAAAAGCAACAAGTCAGACAGCCCCTCTTTTCCCGCGTTCTCCTTTTTCCTCGCGCGATGGGTGGCTCTGCTGTTGCTGCCGCGGCTTTCATGCTTATGAGGTTTCGCGGTGCGACTGCTAGCTGTATTGTTGCCTTGTTTCCAGGAAAGGTCGCTGCGACGAAGTGCGGAAAAGCCGGCCCAAAAGTTGCATGCAGTGTCACCGAAAACGCTCCACTTAGTGGTGTCATTGGTAATGCTCTGAATCTGGTTGAAAAAGCTGAGGTACCTACTGCATCTGCTGCAATGCAGCCAACTGGATTGATTGATACGGGCGGTGTAACGTCCCCAAACCTCCGTATGATTATGAGAGACTTCGTAGTGGAGGGCCCCGGAAATTTTGACCACCTAGGGTTTTTTTAACATACGCCGAAATCTGAGCACACGGGCCTACAGCACTTTCGCCTCCATAGAAAATTCAGCCACCGCAGATGGGATTCGATCCAACGACCTGCGGGTCAGTAGCCGAGTACCTTATACACTAGACCCTCACGGCGGGGAGCCAACTGGAAAGGGCATGCGATGAGTGACAA